GAAGGGGCCACAGCCAAAGCCAATCAGTTCTGCCCCACCAGTGGCCAGCTCGAGGATCCCCAGCTCCACATCATGCTCCAGAAGAACACACCAGCTGTGCCTCGGCTTGCGGGGACTTCACAATGCCATTGAGCTGCAGGGGGGATGTTTCCCCTGCTCCAGTCCGTGGCACCTTCACCGCACTGCCACCACTTCTCCAATAGGATGGGGAGCACTGAGCCGTTCCCTCCACAGCTCGCCGGGGACCAGTGGAAGCATCTCAGCTGCGCTCTCTCCTCTGTGCCGCAGCCACAGGGAAATGCTCCAGGGTTTTCTTCCAGTGCCACAAGATGCATGCCACTGGCACTTGCTGGGCTCCTGGATCCTACTGTGCAGAGGGATGGATCTCTGCTGTCTCCTGGGTCAGGCAGGGCTCCTGCAGCCAAGAATGCTCAAAAAGGTCTTCCAGTGATGGCCTGTCTGTGGGGTCCATGCATAAACACTACCTGATGAGCTGCTGGCACTCTGCTGAGAGAAACCAGAAACTGCCACTCAGCCGGGCAAGGTTCCTGTCCATGCTCTCCCATATTCCACAGTGCCCAGGCCACACTAGGAGAGCTCAGAGCTGCAGCCAAAAGCTTCCTATCAATCCTCTCTTGGAGAGGACACCAGCACAAAGGCACAGGTGCCACCTGCTCCAGCTAAGCCCAGGAGATCCACCACCTCACTAGCTGCAAGAGCAAGAAGATTATGTGCCAGCTGTCCCCTCCCAACTCCGTTCTTCCCTTCATGCCTTGAAGGCACATCCCCACTTTGAGACACCTGGGGCGGGAAGAAGAGCTGGCCCCGGACGGTGTCCTTATTGCTGTGGAAAGGAAGGTGCCCACACAACAGCTCATAGAGCAGGATGCCCAGGGACCAGATGTTGGCTGGCTGGCCATGGTAGCAGCCAAAGAGGATCCACTCTAGTGGACTGTACTCCGGCTTTCCTATGGGACACAGGCGCAGTGCATCAAGCTCATACTGCTCCCTCCTTCTCTCCCTTTTCTGCCTCAGGCAGCAAAGGGGGGAACCTCCGCTGTCCGGCTGGGCCCCGGCTTTGGGCTCACCTGACATCCGGGTGTAGAACGTGTCCTGGAGGATCGTGACGCACTCGAAATCTATGAGCTTCGTTTCACCCATAGCCAGGTCCAGGAGGACATTCTCGGCCTTGATGTCGCAGTGCAGGACACCGTGGTTGCTGCAGTGCCGCACGGCCTCCAGCACCTGGCTGAACAGGCTCCGCACCATGGGCTTCGTCAGGAAGACCTGCTCCTCCAAGAAATACTAGAGGTCCTGACAGCGCTCCGGATGCTCCATGACCAGCGCGACGCCATTGGGCACCTCAAACCAGTCCAGGAGCCGCACGGCGCCGTGGAAGCCAGGCCGTGACACCCTCCACAGCAGCCCCAGATCCAGGGGCAGAAGGGCGCCGTTGTGCTGCGAGGGGGGACCATGATGCCATCAACTGGGCTGATGCTGTGCCGCGTCTTGGGCCCCCCTGCCCAGCCCCACTGCGGCTCACCATTGCCCAGCCTGGCACGATGTGCAGCCCCCGTTCACTCCACGCTCGTTCCCCTCTGCCTGCTACCCTTCTGGGCCTCACCTTAGCCCCACCCGGTATGCCCTGCTGGCTCCTCCCGTGGGCTCCGCTCACTCACCAGCTACACCCAGTCCGATATGCGCTCCCGGGACACTCGCTTGATGGTCGCCTGCAAGCCAAGGCCAGTGGAAGGCTCAGCTTGCCACCCACCTCCCACCGCCCCCCTCCCCACTCCAATCCAGCACCATCTCTTACTGTCAGCGAGCAGGGATCCGGAGTAAAGGCTGCCGCAGCCGCTGCTGCCCAGCAGCGAGCCCTCCCAGTAGAGCTGCTCTAGGGGAGATACTAATCAATTAAAATGAAACAGAATTCCTTTAGAAAACCATAGAAATATGAGCTGTGAAGAATAAAAATGGGCTGTTGTGCATGAAGAAATAGGTGTCTTGCCCGTCTCTACAGCGACATGTAAAGACAGCATTACATGAACTGACCAGCCACTGAAAATTTTGGAGCAGGTGTTTTGACCATTTAATCTGAACAAATCCTTAACCACAAGAATGGAGGCTATAGCAAAAGTTGTAATCAAGGCACAGAAGTGGACACTGGAAATTGCAGGAATGGAACCCCAAAGTATTCTTCTCCCATTAACAAAAGACTATTTGCTATGGTCATTGCAAAATTCAGACACCTTACAAATGGGCACTGTTGAATTTTTCCTGTCGCATTAGCAGTCATTTCCCACCTCATAAACTTTTCTCTTTACATCAACAGGAGCAGGAATTACCTTGGTTGTCAAAACAACATGTGGGAGGCCTCACGGTTTTTACTGATGCCAGTCAAAAAACTCCCAGAGCAGGACTTACTTGGCAGGACAAAGGCAAATGCCTCAGTGAAATCCATGAGGGACCAGGACATTCCTTACAGACTCTTGAGCTATGTGCTGTCATCAGAGTGTTTGGCAAGTGGCCAAATGATCCTGTTAACATTGTTTCTGATTCTCTTTATGAAGTGGTGCTGTCCAGTGCATCGAGCAAGCACTGCTGAAGGAAATCCAGAGAAATCCAGGACCAGTGGTTGTGGCAACTCTCTTTGAAACTGTGACAGTTTCTCAGTTCTCACAGAATATTCAGAATGACTCCAGATTGGAGGGAGGCCTGGTCTTAGGTAACGAGAAGGCTGACCAATTGGTGACAGCACTTTGCTTCTCCTAACATTGATAAATTTGGCCAAGCTGGAAGGGCTGATGAGTTTTTTCATCAAAGTGTGAAAGTTTTACCCAAACAATTTGGAATATGGCTGCAGCATGCTCAGGGAATTGTCACAACCTGTCTACAGGGCGAGAGTAAGATTGGTAGATTGGATCCTGGAGCCAACCCCTGTGGTTTAGGGCCCTTTTAGCTGTGGCAAACTGATATGACCCTCTACACCTCTTTTGGTCGCTTTAAACGCATTCATGTGACCATACACACCTTTTCTGGCATGACTTGGGCCACTCCTCTGACAAGTGAAGGGTCTTGCTTTGTCAGTCGACACTGGTGAGGCTGCTTTGCTGCTATGGGCTTGCCTCCGGAAATCAGAACAGACAGCGGGTCAGGATATACAACCTGCAAACCCAGGATTTCTCAGCTCCTTGGGCAGTGAAGCATAGCACAGGCATTCCAGAGAACTCCACAGGTCAAGCTATCATCAAAAGGACATATCAGGTCCTGGAAGTACTGCTTGATAAACAAAAAATGGGGGAGAATGGGCTGAGCCCACAGGACAGAGTGCTAAAAGCAATCTATGTTATGAATCCTCTATGGTTAGTAGGCAATCACAGTGAACCACCAGCATTAACACATTACTCAAGTTTGCAGCAAGATTCTGAATTGGTACAGCATCAGCCAGAAGTTTGTTTTAAAAATCCTATGACAGGGTTATGGGAAGGACCTGCAGATTTACTGATGTGGGCAAGAGGTTATGTTTGTGTTGTTACAGACAAAGAACCCTGATGGATACCAGAAAAGTGGGTTCATCCCTGGCAATAACAGGACACACTGATCCCTAACACCACTACACTACAACTACAACATCTGAAAACATCCCTCAGAACTGTAAATGCTTTTGTTATCCTTGGGTGAGATTAGAATGTGCGGTGTGTGGAGCAGACATGTGGTGTGAGTTTGGGGGAGGAAGCGCGTGGGGGCAGCTGGGGGCGTACTGGTGGTGCTGGGAGCCTAGCGGAGGGGGAAGGAGAGTGGGAACTGGGAGAGGGGAGGAGGGAAGGGCAGGACTTAGGACTTCAAATTTAGTGAAAGGCAGGATTGTGGATGCCCAAAAAAAAGAGGAGGGGACTGGGACCCCAAAAAAACCAGTGATGGGTGAGGGGGATTGAGGACTGGGGGCGATGGGAAAGGGAAGAAGAGGCACCAAAAGATGGGGCTGAGATCCCCTGATACCGAAATTGGCCAGAATAAACTTTTTAACACAATTTGAAGCATCAAAAAGCAGGCAGTCTTTATCTGTGCAGGGCACAGAGGAGGATATTTCTTTATTCACTGTGTGTCTCAAGACCTTACAACAGCACATTCATTCCATCATGATAAGACATATGTATTAAAACATGTTTCTTATCTAATACATAACCATCACTTTCCTAGAACTATTTTCCATGCATCCTCCTCCTGGAAGGCCTTGTATGGTCCTGAAGGGTCAGCTAAAGGGGTCTTTGGTGGTCGTGTTCTCTGAATGCTTCAATATAAAAGGTGACCTTGCTTTGAACTTTTTCTGTGAGCATGCGCTGTTGCTTCTTTGTTACATGACTTGCAAAAAAACAAAACCCTGTAGTCCTTTCTATCTGTTTCTCTACTGGTTCCACTTATGTTTATCATCCTGTGTAAATACTTTAACGTTCTTTTATCTTATTTGCTAGTTAGTCTTTAAGCTCTATTCCGCAACTTTAGGGGAACTGAGAATTTATATTCTCTGTGTTATTTATCAGGACCACCCCACAGCACAGCCCTCCTCTGGGGTGTCAGCACCTGCCTAGCATTGGGGATGGGGCATATGGGCGGAGCTGGGTGCCGTATTGGTGGCACTGGTGGTGCTGGGAGTCTGCCCATCCATGGGGTGGGCAAGAGGAATGGGAGGGGGAGAGAGGGTAAGAGGGCTTGGGACTCCCAGCTGAGCAAAAGGGGAGGTGAGATGCCCAAACTGAACAGGATGGGGCTGGGACTCCCAAAACTAAGCACAGGGGAGGTGGGTTGAGAACTGGGTGGACAATGGGAAAGGGAGGAAAAGAGGGGGCTAGGATCTCCAAACAGAGGGGGAGGGGAATGGGACACACAAGTTGAGTTTGGAGAGGTCAGTGGATTGGTGGGAATGATGGAAAAGGAGGCAAGGAGGAGGGAAAAGGTGAAGCTGGAATGGAAGAAGGGCAGTTCCATGGGTGTCCACCCTTATCGCTCACCACTCAAGCCCTGGAGTGAATCCCTGGGGCTCAGGGTGGGGGGTGAAGGTGCAGATCTGCACTGAGGGGATTTCTCCCTGCATCTATTCCTGGTGGGGTTCACCCCCCACCCACCAGCCAGAGCTATGGCGCAGTGGGGCAGAGGTGATGGGAAAAAAACAGGAGGAAGAGGAGAGAGAGAAAAGGAGGAGGAACAGGAAGAGGAGGAGCATGAAAAGGAGCAGAAGAAGAAGCGGGAGGGATACCGTTCGCTGTGTCCGCAGCCCCCCCGGGCTCCAAGAGCATCGCACCCCTTACATCCCTCAGGTGACTGGGGAGGGGGAGTTTGACCCAAATTTGTTAGGGGGTCTCTGGCAGGGATTTTTTTTTGGAGGGGTGTTTGGAGCTTGCAGATTCTGGAATAAAGCTCCAGGTATCTCTGCATTTCCAGCACGTTTTCTTGGGGGGATGGGGGTGTGTTTGAAACTTGCAGAACTCCAGAGATGAGCCTCGAATGCCCCTTGTGAGGACATTGTGGGGGTCTATGTTGCAATTGCCCAGTAGTGGCAGGGCAGGACACCAGTTCGGGGAATCCTCAGGAGAACCAGGGGAGTGTAACATGGGACCCCCAGAGTGGGGAAAGTGGAGAGGGGTGATACCGGGGCTGGAGGACCCCCAGCAGCCTGGAGGGGTGGGGGAACACAGAGGTGAGAGAAGGGGAGGACATCCTACTCTGAAAGGGATAGGAGGTAAAGGGAGGAGCCCCAAATGCCTGGAGTGAGGGGAGTCTGAAGAGGGTGACCCTGGGACTACCTGAGAGCTGAAGGGAAAAGGAAACCCAGAACTCCCCAGGATCCCTAAGCTGGACTCCAAAGAGGGGAGATCATCAGGATCCATGGGGACCCCAGAACTCCAAAGGAGGGAGACCAGCTAGGGGGAACTCCTGGGAAGGGTTTTTTTGATTGATCCAGGAGGATGTGGAGCAGCATGAAGTGACCATTATCCCCATCTGGTTCTCTTGCACCACTGGGAGGGAACTGGGGATAAAATGGAGCCTGGGAAGGAGGGAGGGGTGGGGGAAATGAATTTTACTAGGATGTAGTTTAATTCTCATTCTTTTGTTGTGGTTTGACTGGACATAAATTCAAATAATTTGCCCCAAGCCAGCCTTGTGCCCATGGCAGTGCCATGGGGAGTGCCCTGATCTGAGCATGAACTGTTCTTTGGGTGTTCTCTGCACTGTCTGGGGCAGAAAGGCACTGCCCAGAGCAGCCTTGGTGGCATCAGGCACCCAGCCAGACTCAAAACATTACATGTGGCAGACTGGAAATGTTAAACATAAAGCTTAAAGCAAACAAGAGTTTCTGGAGGGCATTCTCCACCCCTTTGCCTTTCCTGGGAGCCATAGGGCAACATGCTGGGCACCCCTCCAAACTGCTGTAGCACAGCCAAGTACTCAGACTGTGACTGAACTCTTTGCCCTCATTCCCAGTGTGTGATGATACTTAAGCAGCCTCAGGAATCTGTTTCCAGTCTCCATGAGCTCATACTCACACAGCCCCAGGGATTTGGTTCAGTCTCCATGAGCTTAGCTGTGAGGGTGAGTTCTGGAAAAGCAGCTTCTCTATGTAAACATCAGGGCTGGTTGAGTTGGCACTAGCTGGAAAGATGCCAGGGATGGGATGGAGCTGAACACCCAGATCATGGCTTCATCTTCAGGGGGATTGAAATAAACAACTGATGAAATAAATGTAGCAAATTAAAGAGAGAGGAGAATAAAACCCTGAACTCATTACAGCTGTTTTTATTGAAGCTTTTGCCACCATGGGGTTGGTTTGAGTGTCTGGATGTGGTTTTTAAGTGAGTTCTAGTTTTTGCTGCCTTATAAATGGTTTTCAGTGATTTTATTGGGTTTTTTCAGCCTCTTCTAGCTCTTGCAGCAGTGCTTTTGTGGTGGGTTAGTATTTGGGGGCCCTCAGACCCCTTCATGCAACCTCAGGTGAGCAAAACCACCCTGAGAGGACAAGGTGTGTTGTCCCTGCACTGCTGTAGGGGAGAGACTCCCAGCCCCAGCATCACTTCTGCCCTCCCCAGCTCTGCTCCCTCTTGCCCCTAAGCAGGTATGAGGGGTAGAGGAAAAACCTGCATCATTTTTCTGCTTCCAAGTCCAGAGACAGTTTATTTAAACTCTTGTTCTTGTTCTTGTTGGAGTTGGAGCCTTTCTATGGAGCAGAGGCTGTGCCCAGGAGTGGAAATGGCTCTGTATGGGGAAGACTGGTAGGTTCCATTACCCCTAAATCATCCATGGCACTTGTGGCTTGTGGGTGAAGGGGCCAGAGGTGCCCCTGGGAGGGGGTTTGTAAACTGATGCCTGTCAACTCTGCAGAATTTCCTGAAGCAGCTGCTTTGATCCAAAACACTGTGTGAGTGGGTGGGACTCAAGAAATCTGTGAGAGAAGAAATGAGAGGAAAAGCTTGGAGGGAGAGAAACTTCTGTGCCTCCATCCCCTTTTCCCACCTCTTCCTCCCCCACCGGTTTTTCACCCCAAAATGCTCCAAGCTGCAGCCTGGAGCAGGAGGAATTGGGGGGTTGGAGACAGTAACAAAACACCACATCAATTAAACCAAAATGCAAGCATTTGGAGGGGATAAAAAAATCCTTTTGGATGTCTTACCTTTGTAGACACAAGCAGGTGGTTCTCATATGGAAAATATTTACCCAGGGGAAGTACCAGCTGCAGGGGCTTGTTGTGGCGAACACTCTACATGTGGGGACACGAGGCTTGACTCCATGTTTCTCAGAAGGTTGATTGATTATCTTATATATTATACTAAAATACTACACTAATACTATACTAAAAGAACAGAGAGAAAAGAACGATGAGAAGGCTACCAAAAATAAGAATAGAATAGGAATAGAATGCGTAACAAAATCCTGTGACTGCTCACAGCCTTGGTACAGGTGGCTGTGATTGGTCATCAGTTGAAAACAATCGACATGGACCCATGGAAGATGAACCTGTTGCATTCCACAGCAGCAGATAGTTATTGTTTGCATTTTTTCCTGAGGCACTCAGCTCTCAGGAGGGAAAAATCCTAGGAGAGGATTTCTAATAAAATATAACTGTAGGGGCTGGTAATAATTTAATTTACAGTGATGTCAAAACATCTGCTGGGCATTGATGTGAGTGATTTATATAGTTGTAATAAATATAGAAACAAGCTTCAGTTGCCAGTGACTTGACAGCTGCATCCACAGGTATTTCCAGTCTGTGTCAGTCAACCCTTGTTCTGTTTCTCTGATTTTTTTTTCCATATAAATTGTTCCTGTGGAACCAACTTTGCTTTGCTGAGGAGAGCTGTGACTACCCAGGAGTTTGGGAGGATTATCACCTTTTTGTGTTTTTATTTTAAGATCACAGGAGCATCCTAGTAAAGCCCCAGGAAAAAGCAGGACCTGTTGGACCCTGTGAGCTTGGGGTGTTGTCCAAGATCACTTCGTGGCAGGAGGAGCTGAGGGACACTCTGGTCCCTGGAAGGTGCCCTTGTCCCCTCTGTGGCCCTGGGAATGGCAGAAGTCCCTTGTGAAGAAGGTACAGAGGCACCATTCCCTGCCCCAAGAGCTTCCCAAGCTGCCCTGCACAGGGTGGGGAATCAAGGTTGGCTCATGTGGGGCCATCCAGCACCTTCTGGGGTGCCCTGGGTGGCCGGGGCTGAAAACCCCTCTGGACTTGTTCAGGTCCTTGAGGCAACACCTTTTCAGGACACCCACAGACAGCAGGAGTTGGCTGAGGTTGAAGCAGAGCTGAAAAAACCAAGCAAGTCCTGTTTTTTTGAAAGCTGAAATTGTTTTCCTTCCTGCTGCGAACATAAACCTGGCAAAGGAACAATGGCACCAGGCTGTCCTTGGAGGAAAATATCCCAAATCAGGCCTTTCCCACTCCCCACTTCTGAGTGTGAGTCAGAATTTGATTTGTTTGCACAGGTGGAGACTCGGCTGCTGAGATGGAGCTGCTGCAGCAGAGAGCACAGGGAAGGACCAGTAAGCCCCAGTTTGGTTATGAGGATGTTGTTTCAAGATATGGCTCAGTGTGTTGGGGCAAGATAAAATGGTCAAAGGTGTTGTGGGAGGGGGAGTAAGAAATGTCAAAGTGTTTGCAAGCTGAGGGTCTGGGGGATGGTGCCCATTTCATGGTGGAGGGGGGCACAGAGGTGATGCAGGGAGGTTAGCAAGCCTCAAAAATCCTTGGAAGTCGAGGATAGCACTGGGATGCCTCCTGGACTGAGCTTGTGCCCTGCTGGGAGCCTCCAGAGTGTTTTGGGGCTGGGTTAGAAGATGTTGAAGTAACCCATAAGGGAAATATGAGAGCTGGGAGAACAGGGAGTGCTCTTCATGCCCTTCCCATGTGGTTTGTCCCAAGATTTCAGCCGCAGATGCACCAGTGCCAGAAAGGTGATTATTGTAGTCACCGTGCTCACCGTGGTGCTGCTTCTTATAGTCGCCATCATCACACTGGCAGGTGAGTGGCTGAGGGTGCAGAAGCCACCCAAAAGTCTCCTTCCTAGAGAAGCCCCCCAGCATGAGTCACTTGGGCATGTTGTGCTTGTTTGCAGCTAAGAAAGACCCACCCTGCCCAGCTCCCACCCTGCCCAGCTGCCTGGAGAGTGGGATTGGCTTTGGGAACAAGTGCTTTTATTTTCTGGAGGAGGAGGTGGACTGGGAAGGGAGTCAGCACTCCTGCCTCTCCCGCCAAGCCCACCTAGCCACCATTGACACCAAGGAGGAGCTGGTAAGAGAAACCCCTGAGGAGGTGGTGTGGAACAGCCTTTGGAGAGCAGATTTGGAAATTGCAGGAAATTGCCTGAAGAGAATAGCATGGAGGTACCTGTGATCCTTGCTTTCCCCACTTCCAGCATTTTCTCCTGCGCTATGGGAACTTCATGGAGTACTGGGTTGGTCTCTGGAGGGAAGGTTCTGGACCTTGGAAATGGCTCAATGGTTCCCTCTTCAATGCCCTGTACGTCCCATCTTCTGGAGAACAAAACTATGGCCTGGGCTGAGCTGGGGCAGGGGCTGGATGCAGGAAGCACAAGTAGAGATCTGTTGAGGTGGGAGCAATCAAACACTACTTTCCTTGGTTGTGCCAAAGCATTCAGACACATCCCATGGATTTGTGAGATGCAGATGCTGATGGGGGCCTGGGGGCATCCCTGGATGAATCCCCTGGGACCAAGAACATGAAAACCATTGAGGAGTGGAAATTAGTTTGGGTTCTTCATGGGGACTTTGCTGGGAAGGTTGGTGCCTGCTCCTGCAGCACTCTTAATCTCTCTGGAAATGGGAATCTCTCCTTTCCCAGCTGTCTCACATGAGCTCTAACTTTGCTGTTGATCCAGGTTTGACATCCAGGGCAACGGCCACTGCGCCTACACGAACTCCCACAGGATCAGCAGCGACAGGTGCTCTGAGACTAAGTTTTCCATCTGCAGCCACCTGCAGAGACACCCCAGTGAAGTCCAGAAGGATACAGAAATCCTGAATTCCACCTGAAACCTCCCTCTTAACAGAGATCCACCACCAGCTGGTGTTAACCCCACACAATGTGGTACTGAGTCTCTGTTGTTTGTATTTGTTTAAATTTTAGCTGGCAAACAACTCACAGGTTGGGATGAGTCTGTTTGCTGAAACTCTGTCAGTTGAGATAAGTCCATTTGCTAAAGTGAAAATCAATAATTGTGGAAAAAAAAAAGATCAATCAAAACCTGCACTCTGGAGCAGGTGATAAAGAGGCAAACTGGGAAGGAGTTGCACGGGAGAAGTCTATGGAGGACTGACCCCATGGAATGAACTCCACCCTGGAGTCGGGCAGGGACTCCTCTCCCTGTTGGGGAAGCAGCAGTAAGAAGTGACCACAACCCCCCCTCCCATTGTCTCTGCACCAGCGGTGGGGAGGAGGGACCGAGTTGGGGGTACAGTAAAGCCTGGGAGGAGGGAGAGGTGGAGGAAAGGAGTTTTATTAAGATTATTTTTGTGTATCATTTTGCCTTTTCTGGGACCCCAAGGGCAACAGACTGCGCTCAACAGCCCAAACTGCCAGAGACTAGTGGCCCTCGGCCATGCCATGTCCCCTGTCTGTTCCAGGCTCCCTGTCTCCTGTGTCCCTTGTTTCTGTGGGGCTGGGGCAGCAGCGAGATCCAGGGCAGCCCTGGGGTGGAACAACCCCGAGCCCAGCTGAGCCAGTTCACCAATTCCACACAGAGAGGGCTCAGGTCACTCCCAGAATGGTTCCCAGTCACTCCCAGTATGGTCCCAGTAATTCCCACTATGATCCCAGTCACTCCAAGTATGATACCACTGTGATCCCAGCATGGTCCCAGGGGTTCTTATTCACTCCTAACATAGTTCCAGTCACCTCCAGTATGATTAATCCTACTATGGTTGCAGTCCCTCCCAGTATGATTCCAGTATGAACATGGTCACTCTCAATATGATGCCATTTGTTCCCAGCATGGTCCCAGTTGCTCCCAATAACCCAGTATGCTTCCAGTCACTCCCAGATTCTCCCAGCATTATTCCAGTAACTCCCCTTAAGGTTGCTTTATGGTCTCAGTTATTCCCAACCTCTCCCAGTATATCCCAGTTGCCCCCAGTGTTTCCACTCACTTCCAGTTGCTCTCAGCAGATTGCAACATAATTCTAGTTGCTCTTAGCCACTCCCATTTACCTCTAGCATGAATGCTCTTGAGTGTAAAAATATTGCAGTTTGAAACTTAGGCCTGAAGTCTTTCCAACAGACTGTGGGACAGCAGCTTTTCTTAGAGGATGTGCAGCATCGCAAAGACTTCATCAGTGTGACTGTGGGTGCTTGGAGCTTTGTCCTGTGCCACTCTGGGATGTCATGAAACAGGACTTCACCTGCCACTAGCCTTGTTGCCCTCTGCTACTGCAGCTCCTTGGACCTTGTGTCCACAAAAACAGGCACAAAGTGTTTCTGCTGCTTCCCTCTTTGCACAAATCCACGGAGAGCTGGGATTTTTCCAAATTCTTCTGTCTCCATTGTTCCTTATTCCTAAAGAACCAGCCCTCCCTCCTGATGAACACTGCAAGTTCCAGGAATGGCCATCAGCTCACTTTCCTGCCTAGAAATCTTGAAACTGTTTATAAATGCTGCTCCCTTCAGCTCTTGGACAGCTATTCTGTACACAGAGCTGGAAAAAAAAATCCACTGGTCACCTCTCATCAGGGAAGTGCTGCAAGAGTTAGAGGTGTGTGGGAAATCCCTGTCCCTCCATAGATTTTTCACAGATCTCTACATGGAATATGCAGAGATGATTTTTGAATAGAAAGGATGGAGAGTGCAGATGCTTTGTGTGATACTTTCCATCTCCATGTTTGTTCCCTATCCGTGGATCCAGAGACATCCAAGAGGCCCTTGCACAGAAAGACCCATCTGCCTTGGATAAGGAAGTGCAATGGGGATGTCAAGGCACGGCACTGCCTCCTCTGGGATGGGAAAGCCCTTCAGCCTTGTTCCTGCGCAGAGGGGCAGTGCTGGCCTAGCAGCACAGGTTGTTCTCCCCACAAGCTTCAGGAGATGAGAACACAACCATTCCAAATGCTGCCTGGAGACACAGCTCTGGATGCTCCCCAGGAACCTCAGTTCTGGCAGCTGCTCTGGGACCATCCTCTGCCCCAGGCTGCAGGGGATGCAGCAGGAGATGGGCTGGGCTCTGCCTTGGAGCCATCCTGCAGTGAGAACTGCACACAGGCAGGATTTAATTCCCACAAACAGCCAAGCCAGGGGTGAAGCTCAGCTGCTCCAGCCCACACTGCTATGCACTGGGCTCTGGGGCTGGAACTCCCTACAGAGGGGATGGCACTGCTGGACCACAGGAGACAAATCAGCTTTAGCCTGAATCTCACTGAGGTAGGGGGGTGGTCTGGGAAGAGTAGAGAGGGTAAAGAGCAGTCATAGAGTTCATCCTGCTGGAGGGACAAGGCAAAAAGAGTGGCAACATAACAGTGAGAACAGCTGAGAGCTGCAGAGCAGCTCTGAAGGACACAGTAACCTCCCACAGCACCCCTGAGACATTGCTGTTGTGCAGCCAGGGACAAGCAGAATGGAGTAGCCCAAGCCCTTCCTCACCTGCAAACCAAAGGAGCCAGTGCAAAAAGCAGCTTGGCAGCCGACTGCACCAGGAAAGGGGGGAACTTTTGATGCCCAGCCAGGCTGTGCCATGCCCAGATCTGGGAACATGCCCCTGTGTGTGGATTCACCTGCAAATTGGGTGTGAAGTGTGTCTTTGAAGAAGGTGCCAGAAGTGAAGTCAGTCTTCAGCTTGCCAGTGGTCTGGTTAAGGAAGAGATTGTCATCCTTGAGGTTGTCCTTGGTGTCTCCAGTAGCAGCATCACCTGGTACAACTTCTCCAGGGACTACTTTTCCTTCTCTGGGGGCCAGACCAGGCTGTCAGTGTTCTGTACAGGGCCCTAGACGTCAATCAGACGAGCAGAAAACAGGCTGGATGGAGTTCAATAGTGCTTGGCAGACCAGGTCTCCAGCTCAGCTCCAGCACAAGGGCTGTGTTTTCCCTTCTAATGGTCCCTGCACAGAGCTACAGGCAGGAGAAAAACAGTTTGGTTTGTTTTGCCACTGATTGCCAAGATATGTGTGGAGCTGTTACTCGCCGGGCTCTTGGATCAAGCTGTGCACGTGTGTGAAAAACACGTTCACTCTCCTGTGAAAATGTAAAAAGTTTAATAAAGAATAATGGGAGACAAGGGCCATGGAGCAAGGGTTATTAGGGCCAGGCACATCTTGGCACTCAGCCAAGAGCACCCTTTTACCTTCATGGATACCCCTTAAATACCTTTTCCCTTATATCAGCCTGTTGCATATTCATAGACCCTTATGCATAGCAAAGTTTTCCCCAAACTAGTTTACATGTTCCAAGAACTGTTTAGCATGGCTTCTCGTTGGATCCACCTTTTTAGAGCATGCAGATTCCTTGGTTGTGGTTTTAGTCCTTTTTTATCATCATCTTCAGTTTTGGCCCCAGCCCACATTGTCTTCAGACAGTGAGTGCTGATAGTTGGCAGATCTGTAGCAGGTGTCTTCATTATATGTTCATTGGATGTAATCCCATCCAAGCAGGCATTTTAACAGAAGCATACTTCTGTCAGCTATTTCACTACTATGTCTAAGCTTAATTAACAACAGAAATAAAAACTACATCTTTATAACAAAATTACTTTAACACTACATATAAAATCCATTTTAATATTTGCAAAAAACTAATATTATAACATGTATTTATAACAATCCCTCCTCTTAGTCTTTATAAATCATTTGGCTTAGCAATATTTCTTGTCCACTTGCATTCTTTGGACTATGCTGGTAATTAGTCCAATAAAACAGGGGATTAAACAAGGAAGAAATATCAAACCAGTTGTAACACATAAAAGGAAGAAGCCTAATTTCTTCCACCAATCTATCCCCCAATACTTTACCCCACCAGCTAGTTTTTAACATTGTTTCCCAACTTTGGATGGCATCTGGATTGTTTTTCTGATATCTTTTGCTTTTTCCAGGATGACATCCCCATTGTCACCTAATTTCAACAATCTGATATATTATAAACTTTCCACTAACACCCCCTTCTTCAGCCAATAAATTGTCTGAAGCCAAACTATTCTGATACAATACAGTTTTTGGTTGGCTTTCCTGACTTGATATTAATTCCAATGCCTGAGCAGCTTTGTTATCATCTCTGTAACTGCTTGTCTTATAATACAATTCAGCAATTTAGGGCCAATGCAGTTAGATTGCTGTGCTGGTTTTACCTTTTTGTTTACTAATTGTTCTTTTACCAGATCTTGGACTATATCCCTAAGGTCAACTACTCATAACAGTTTCTTTCTATTTAGTGCTTTTGGTAGCATTTGTGACACAATCTTGCTGGTATCCCGAAAGTGGAAAGAAAACAAATGAGCAACAGAAAAAGGAAAAACAGAGTTTTGGTATGGCTTATACCCCCACCTTGCTTGCCTGTGGGGTTGCTACCAATAGCAGGTGTATGTGATCTTCTCAGTGGCAAGTACAGCAGCCATCCTAGGCTTGCTTTCTATATCCTTGTAACTTCCTTTTTGCTAATTTCCAGGCAAACAGTTTTTGACACTCCTTAACTGTAGTTTCCCACCTGTCATGGTTTGACTCTGGCACAATGCCAGTGCTCCTATGAAAATTTTTTTTTTTTTTTAATGGCTGCTGTGAGATGTGACTAGAAATAGAGACAAACAGGCTCTAGTTTAGGAATAAAGGGGAAAAATATGTAGAAAGGAACACGCACAGAACTCAGAATGAAAACCTTTTAAAAACACTCCTCCTCCTCTTTCTAATTTTTACCATAGAATGAAATAAAACTTTAGATTCTCAGTTGAGTTACTACTGCTCAGATAATCAACTTTCAGTTCACCAAGGAGAGAGGAGTCTTTTTTGTACTATAGGCTTCCCCAGGAAACACAATTGAAATTTTGTGTTT